AACCCCCCATCCTTACTATCTGCTTATCTGGTAAGGACTGAGTGTACCTACCATTTTAAATGCACCCACCCACTTGGCCATTTTCCATACTGCTACACACCAATCCTTTGAGTGGACACACAACATTCTATCAAGTACTCTACCATCCACTAATTACATTTTCAGTTGTTTCTAATTGATTATTGCTGCAATGGCCAGATTTATAGTTTCCTTGCCTTTTCAATTCTTTAAGGATAATGCCTTAAAATGGAACTTGTATATCAAAGGTCATAGATACAGAGTACTTCTATGGATCTTAAAAACTCTAAGCTGCTCTTAAAAATACATAGCAACCGGCAACATCTACACTGCAAATGATTACTAATCATGGCGGCTACATAACAGGTACTGAGTTGTATCTGTCTTTCACAATTCAATTGCCCACAAACTGCCAAAACTTACTGTGATTTGGGTATCTACAAGTAATTCCTACATTCGTCCCTTCTAAAAGAATTTCCAGAGTTTCGACGCCTGGTTAAATTCCAATCTTAGAAGGCAACAAAGTCAGAATACTGGTTTTGTTTATTTTTATTATTGTGTCTACAACTACTGTAAATAAAAGGTCTTCATCAACATGCACATACACAAACATTACTAGTCATGTTCTCAGGAAAATCCAGCTCTCTGGCTTTTGTTTACAAGGGAGGGAAGAAAATAAATTGCCCTCTACTTAACCAAAAACTATCATTCCCTCCAATCCAGACTCATACAAAGTGTCTAACTCACTTCCCACGAGAAATCTTTTAAGTCTTTTCATTCCACTGCCCTAGTTTTAGCCAAAGCAGACCACCGAGTCTCTTACACACAACAGTCACCAAGTGTCTAACTTGCTTGAAACACCTAGAATTAATGCTCTGTGAACTCTCTGTGTAAGCATTCTAAGAGCCTGCGAAGTCTTCCCTTTCTCCATCTAGTTCACACTTGGCACTAAGGGCCTCCTGCCCCAGTCAGGTAGCAACTCCTCTGTTCCCATGGCATTCTGGACATACCCCTTACCAGTGGAGAATAAAGTACCCTTTAAGGTCTGAGGCTATGTTTGATCTTCCCCCTGCCTCCCCATAAATACAGCAACATCCTGGAAATGACTGCCAAAAAGATGCTGCAGTGTCAAGCAAAGTCCTTTTTTGTCTTGGGTCTCTACGCTTGAGGACAAAGCCTCTCTCCCCTCTTCAGCAACTCCTGCAAGAAACTTCAGATTTCCTCAGAAACCGCACAACTCCAAAAGCATCCCAAAGGATCTGGAATTCCAGTCAGAAATGTTCACAAACTTCTGACCCCTGAACCCAGAGGTGGGACCCAACTTACTTGTTGCACATCAGCAGCACTTCCAGCTCCTTGACATTGTGGACCAGGAACTTGCGGAAACCACTGGGCAGCATGTGCTTTGTTTTCTTGTTGCTCCCATAACCAATGTTGGGCATCAAGATCTGGCCCTTGAATCTTCTCCGAACCCTGTTGTCAATACCTCTGGGTTTCCGCCAGTTACCTTAATTTTGACATATCGGTCTGACTGGTGCCTGATAAACTTCTTGGTCCTCTTTTTGACGATCTTGGGCTTCACAAGGGGTCTGAGGGCGGCCATGATGCCTTTAAGAAAGAAGCAGACCCAGTTAAAGAAGAATCCTGGAAGGAGGCTTTCCTGCCCAAGGCTTGCACACTTGTTGCAGAGTGTCTTCCAATCACCAACTACCGTGCAAGCTGGGAATGGAATGGGTACCTCTGCTAGGCTTGCTTTCCCTCCTGTTTCCGAAGCTGGCAGAATACTAGCCACTCTCCAGACGCGATCCCAGGAGGTTAGAGGTCATCTCACCCACTCAGAGCCCAAGAAAGAATCCAACAGCTGACCTAAAACAAAACTGATCCCAAGACCTCAGTTTGCAAAGTGGCAGCAGACAGCACCCCACGAAGTGTCCCAACACCTACACAGTCCACTTAGTTGTACAGGCCTTGTCCAATCTACTTGAACCTGAGTCGTAGTATTCCCATCTGTAAAATGGAGACTGACACTGCATGCTGAATGCTTGCACAGTGCCTGTCACCAAGTAAACGTTTAATAAAGAGAACTTATAATTCCCCTCGGTTGCTGTGGCTCCGCAGTACCCTCAAAATACACACAAAACCATGTGCTTCTAAAATGCCACAACCTTTAAACTTACTGCTCTACCTGGAGACGTTTGAGAATCGACATATACCTGCTTCAATGTAGTTCTCCCAGCCACTTATTTTTTTCCTACTGCAGCACCCTCTTTGTTCTCTTCACAGCCATCAATCTGCTTTTTTTGTTTGGCACACAGTAGGAACTCAATGAACCACATATTCAATAACGACTGTACCCACTGGAACTATGACATCCTCGAATGCAAGGGGGCATTTTCATCTCCATATTCCCAGAGATCTTAACTCACTACCAGAATTTCTGTTAACAATTAAAGGAGCGGACTACACAACTTTTTTCTTTTTTTGCGGTTCCGCAGCGGCAGTTCGAGGGCCAGAGAATGCAGGGAAGGAGCGCCGGGTGCAGCAGTGAAATACACGTGGGCAGACAATCGTGGGGGCGGCGACGCACGGATCCCAGCTTAGGGGCTGTCAAACCGGGACAGCTCTAGACGCTCCACAGCCCCGGGGAGCCCCGTAGTCTGGTCCCAGTTAGCACCCTGCGCCGCTAGGAATCAAGCCTTCTGCAGCTCTGACTGACCTGACTCCAGGCAGCCTTTGTAGCCCCAAGCGGCCCTGGAAGGCAAAGCGCCATCACCGCCCAGGCCGCTTCGCTGTTCCTGTCCATGTTCCAGCAAGCCGGCAACCACAACACCCACAGAGGCGACCTCGCGGAAGGGGAGGCCCCCTCACGAAGGGTGTAAAAGGGCCCGATGGCGGCCGCAGAAATGCGGATGGCTCACGATAAACACTCACCGAATAGGAGATGGCTGCCACCTCCGTAGGCACCGCCAAGAAGAGAGACCGGAAGGCGGTTCTCAAGGGCTTATGGGAAGTAACCTCTAGGATCCTGGCAGGGAAAAGACGAGGACTTCCGGCTCCAGGTCCTTCAAAGAAAATGACAATCAAGAGAAATAATGCTGCAAAAAATGCTGAGTATACCTGCGTTTTATTAGACATTAATATATGGGAATAAATCTGAAAATTTATCTTACCTGCCTTTGGACTACGTAGAAATTTGGAATTCTTTCTAGGCTAAGACCTGAAGAAGACTACTTCCGCCAGAAGTTGAAGCCAAATCCAGCTTTTGGACTATTTCCGCCCGTCTTTCTTCTACCCGGAAGTGCGCCTCTTAGTGGCCAGGAGGAAACAAAACAGATTACCTAATAATTCCCTGGCGTGAGGCCCGGCGTGGTGGCTCATGCCTGTAATCCTAGCACCCTGGTGAGGCTGAGGCGGGCGGATTGCTCAAGGTCAGGAGTTCGAAACCAGCCTGAGCGAGACTCTGTCTCTACTATAAATAGAAAGAAATTAATTGACCAACTAAAAATATGTATACAAAAAATTAGCTGGGCATGGTGGCGCATGCCTGTAGTCCCAGCTACTTGGGAGGCTGAGGCAGTAGGATCGGATCGCTTGAGCCCAGGAGTTTGAGGTTGCTGTGAGCTAGGCTGACGCCACGGCACTCACTCTATCTAGCCTGGGCAGCAAAGTGAGACTCTGTCTCAAAAAAAAAAAAAAATTCCCTCTTATGAATTTATATGGTAAATACTAATGAGACTGTAACAGCTAACATTCCATGGGAGTTACTATTGCTTACCACAATTCTATAAGGAAGTTCTATTGTTCTCTCCATTTTAGATATGTGGAAAGTGAATTTTGGAGATTTGACTCCACACTTCATTTTTTTCTTTTTTTTGAGACAGAGTCTCTTTCTGTTGCCGGGCTTAGAGTGCTGTGGGGTCAGTCTAAATCACCGCAACCTTTCACTCCTGGGCTCAAGCGATCCTCCTGCCTCAGCCTCCCAAGTAGCTGGTACCACAGGCATGTGCCACCATGCTCGGCTAATTTTTTCTATTTATAGTAGAGACGGGGTCTGGCTCTTGCTCAGGCTGGTCTCGAACTCCTGAGGTCAAGTGATCCTCCCGCCTCAGCCTCCTAGAGTATTAGGATTACAGGCGTGAGCCATCTCGCCTGGCCTCACACTCCATGCTTCTAACCCTGAGGCTAAACTGACTAGTTCTTAAAATTGTTGTTCTTGATTTGTTTTGCTTAGCTTTTGTTTTTAAAACTATTGTGAAAATCAAATTTCAGGATAAGTAAAAAAACCCTTTGATTCCACAACTCGAATACAATACAGATGTCATTGGTGATCTCTACAGTAGTTCCAGGGGTGAGATGGGGACAGAAGCTAAACGGGATTGTGTTGATGATGTAATGAAAGGTGAGAAGGGTGTGTCATAGTTAGATTTGGGCTGTGAGGGGGTGTTGGAGGAGACCCAGAGAAGTGAAATGTCTTGTCTGAGGTCACACAGCTTTCCAGTGGAAGGATTGGGACCAGAACCCTGCTGTGCCTGTGGCTATCCCACACCTCATGAGTCATGCTGGTCCCACACACTGGTCCCATGCACGTTGTGAATGGCAGCTCGCATCATGCAAGCCATGAAGGAAAAGGTCTTGTCGGGCTCAGTGGATCAATAAGGAGGACTCACGAACCAGAGAGCATGCCTTTAGTTTCCAAAGACCAGTGAGATGTGGAAGCAGTACCCAGTGGCTCAGTCTTAGGGAGGTGAAAGACATGCTGCCACCTCATTTCACAGAGGAGGCCACAGGGGTACCCACACTGCCTGCTGCCTCCCCGGGGGCACTAAGGTCTAGGACAAGAGGCTGGAGGTGCCATGGAGGCATCCCTGTCAATATCCCAGGGAATGTACCTGCTGTGTACCCCCCCAGGCTCAAGCTTTCCAAACTCCCTACTGGCCACGGTTCCTGCGCAAGAAATCACATCAACCGAATCACAGCTGATATGAGAAAAACTCCAACCTGCTTTATTTCAAAAGGGCAAAGGTCAGGGAAAGAAAACAGTCCAAAAACTGCACGTTTTTCCCTAGACACATCTATCTTCTGAGAAACTGGACACTTTGGGTCCAGAAGGAGCTGGCCCTAGGCCATTCCATTGAAAGGAATTTTGTCTAGCTCTTTGACACTCCTGTGTCTGTGGCTTGGGCAGCTTGCCACACTGGCCCCTGGCGCAGGATGGCTGGGTCCAGCGACACCTGGGCCACTCTAGTTGATGTAGTAGACCTTGGCGGCATCATACTGGCCGTGGGTCATGTAGTTTGTCTCCCTAATGGGCCACCAGTGGTCAGAGTGGTAGGTGGCTGGGTAGACATGGGGCTGGGGCTGGATGCAACTGAATAGTGCCAGGCTCCGGTCAGTGGCCACGGTGGGCAGGTAGAGATACAGCTTATCCAGAAGGTGCCCAGGCCAGAAGGAATTGGGGTGGGTTCGCTGCGGACCACTGAGCCTCTTCCCCTTTAGCTTCCTAGAAGAGAGAAGACAGAAGGAAAGTCGCCAGCTGACAGGGCAGGGCTCAGCTCCTTCTCCGCAGAGCACACCAACTGTGACCAAAGTGGAGACTTACCGCTGTATAAGCACCTCAGTACCTCAGTCCTCCCTGCAGTTCCCTGTGGGAGGGTCTGTTACCCTGTTGACCTCACCAGTGAGGACCCAGAGGCCTAGAGAGGCTGTGACACAGTGAGCAAGTGGCTGGGTGCAGGTTTGACTCCCAGTCTGCTGCCTCTAAAACCCAAAGTCTTAACTGTGCACCATCTGTTATCTGGAGGCATTTTAATGTGGTGTTCGGAGTGCAGTCCCCGGAGCTGGCCTAGCTGGGTTCAAATCCCCACTCCTCCACTTAACAGATGTGTGACTTTGACCTGTCTGTGCCTCAGTTTCCTCTTCTGTAATACAGGTATGCTAAGGACTAACTTCCTAGGGTTGTTGAGAGGATTTAAGTGAGCTAACACATGGAAAGCCTCAGAGCAATGCTTCCTGGCACTCTTGTTCCACGGCCTCTCAGGTCAGGGCGCCGAGCCCCAGATGCTGTGCTAGGCGCATGGTGCAACATGCAGAATCCCAGGGACCCCTCCGGGGTGAGGCTAGCCCCCCTCCCACCATCCTTCCTTCCTTCTGGAGTTAGATGATTGCCACAGACCTGGTGAATTCCTCAAACTCCTTAAACTGCATTTTCTTGATTGTCCTAGTGGAGAAAAGAAAGGCATTTTGTTAGGAGAGGGGAAATCCAGGCTAATGGGGCTTGGGCAGTAGCTCAGGGGCCACAGGCGTGGACTCATCTCTGAGTCTCAAACCAGAGGTCTGAAAAGAGAATTTCTTCTACTTGGGGTGGGGTCCTGACTCTGTGTCTCCATGCTCCAGGGGAACACACAGTGGGCTTGTGTCAGCCAAACCTGGCCTCATCACCTGGCTGCCTGGGTTCTCCTTTCTGTGCCTTGGTTTTCTCATTGCTCAGAACAGAGACCTCCCACGGTAGTTATGAGAGATGTTCAATAAGTCGTAGCTGCTGAATCTGAATCCCTTTGGGGCCCCTGACTCCCACTTCCCCTGCCAGAGCCTAGCCCAGCCTTGAGGACAAGGGTGGTGAAAACTAACCCCCCAAACCTTGAGCCTGCCAGACATTGCTAATCAATCACAGCATTCTTTCCCAATCCTGTCTGAGTAGCAAGGTAGAGCCAATGTCTCTCCTTGACCTAGGGGGCCTCTTTCTCCTTTATAGCTGTGGCCTGCCTGAGCATGGACAAAAATCCCTTTCCCAGGTTTCCACCCACTTCCTGGGTTCATGGCCCAGGAATTGGTGCCAGTGGCCTAGGGGCTGGGAGGCAGTCACAGAGGGAACAGAAGGGCCGCACCAGCCTGGCTCCTGCTCAGGACGCACCTGTAGGACGGGGCCTGCCTCTGCACTTGATAACGCCCTGACCAGAGCAGGTGAAACAGCAGCGATTGTCGAGTGAGCACTGTCTGTGCTAAGAAGTTTACACGTGCTTCTCATCTGATCCTCACTGTGTTAGGCCCCTTTTACACACGAAGATGCTGAGGCGCAGAGAGAAGTACTCTGTCCATTCAACCCAAGGCCTGTGTGACCTGTACTCGGCTCTGCTGCGTCCCACCCAGGTGTTCTGGCCACATGTCCCCGTGGGCAGCTGGCAGAGGTCTAAGGTGCTGGGGCAGGTCCCGGACCCCTCCCACCTTGTGGTATCCAGCCTGCTGGCCCCTCCCCCTCCCGTGCTGGGCCCCTCCTTCTGCAGTCACCCCCTGATGCTGCCCATGGCTTGCCACCTGTGCTTGACCCAGATCTGGCGGTCCTAGGCTTTGGGTCACCAAAGGAGGTCATTTCTTAGAGGGGATTCAGGTTGGTCAGGGACAGGCTCCAGGGCAGTGTTCCTTTCTCCTCCTAAGGGGCGTGTTGGCTGCAGGGCAGCAGGGCAGAGAAGGGGCTGCCCTTCTGTCCTCTATAGGGCCCCTGACACCTGGGTGGTGATTTGTGACCCCCGCCCAAATCTCCAACAAGGCTCTCCTCATAATCTTTTCCAGAAACCTCTCGTCTGTGCAGGCCTGTGGTGGGGAGGACAGCCGCGTGGGAGCTGAGGGCAGGAGGCCGTGATCCTAAGACACATGGTCGTGTGACACGTAGGACTAGGTCGGTATGTGGTGACCAGTTGGGACACCGACACTGGCACACACGACACGCCAGGGATTTCAGCACCCCAGCCCCGTGCCAAAGGGACAGCAATGGGACATCGGCAAAGGGCGGAGAGAAGGGGTCTGACACTCAGCTTGTCAGTCTTCTTGTCGGCAGACTGTCTGAGGCCCTGGGACCTGAGCAGAGCCAGGTTCGCCCTGAAGATCTTCCAGTCAGAGTAGTAGCCTCCGGGCTGCCGGATCGGGCGCACCTGGTCCTGCAGGAGGATGATCTTGTCTCCCGGGTAGAGCAGCGCTGTGGGCAGCGGGAAGGAACGCGCGTGGCCCATTAGCTCAGACAGCCCCGCTCCCCCCTGAGCTCTGGGTCAGATGGGGGCTGCTTTTTCTTAAATTGCATTTTTGTTTAAAAAGGCTTTTTTGGCTGGGCGCGGTGGCTCACGCCTGTAATCCTAGCCCTCTGGGAGGCCGAGGCAGGCAGATTGCTTGAGGTCAGGAGTTCAAAACCAGCCTGAGCAAGAGCGAGACCCCGTCTCTACTATAAATAGAAAGAAATTAATTGGCCAACTAATATATTTAGAAAAATTAGCCGGGCATGGTGGCGCATGCCTGTAGTCCCAGCTACTTGGGAGGCTGAGGCAGGAGAATTGCCTGAGCCCAGGAGTTTGAGGTTGCTGTGAGCTAGGCTGATGCCACGGCACTTACTCTAGCCTGGGGCAACAAAGTGAGACTCTGTCGCAAAAAAAAAAAACCAAATAAATAAATAAATAAAAAGACTTTTTCTCATATTTTCTAACTTGTTCTTTTCTTTTCTTTTTTTGTTTTATTTTTAAGACAGAGTCTCACTCTGTCACCCCGGCTAAAGTGTAGTGGTATCATCATAGCTCACTGCAACCTCAAACTCCTAGGCTCAAGCGATCCTCCACCACACTCAGCTAATTTTTCTATTTTTTGTAGAGATGGGGTCTCGCTCTTGTTCAGGTTGGCCTTGAACTCCTGAGCTCAAGTGATCCTCCTGCCTCTGCCTCCCAGAGTGCTAGGATTACAGGTGTGAGCCACCGCGCCCAGACTTAACTTGTTATTTTCAAATAACTGTAGATTCACTGGAAGTTGCAAAAATCAAGCAGAGAGGTCCCTTGAACCATGCCCCCCAGCGTCTCCCCATGGTGACACGGCCTGCAGCTCTAGTGCTGTATCCGGAAAGTGGCCTTGGGCCTTGGGACGGTGCTGCCAATGGGATACACATGAGGGGACTGTTTGTAACCAGGTCAACGAGGGCCCCAAGGTACAGCGAGGACCGGGCTGGTTAGGAGTCCCAGGAGCAGGGGAGAGGATTCCACTAACACTTCACTAGGTTAACTTAGACCTGTTTGATGGTAGTTTTCTCCTTGTCTTGAATTAGTTTCATAGATATCCTTGGGAGAGTTTTCTAAGAAGTGCAGAACATAAAAAATACTGAGCCAGGGTCTCTACCTTCCTGCAGCTGTGGAGCAGTGCACATCGCAAGATGGTAACACACAAAAAATCTCGTGTTCTGGAAAAAGTGATGGAAGTTACACTCCAGGTTGTTAATGGTTGCTTACTTGGGGCTGGGGGTCTGTGCAGGTAAGAAGTTAGGAGAGGGAAGGGGAGATATGCAACATCCACATTTTCAAAAGGTATCTGTGACTTTTTAAAGTACGATTTTTAAATGATTTATAGAAATAATTTTATGCAAATGGAAAAGAAAAAGATTTGTAAATGGATGGTCACTGAAATTTTAATAGTGGCCAACTCAGGCTGAAGGAATTTTTATTTTTATGTTTTCCAAAAAATTCAAATAAGCAAGTATTATCTATAAAATCAAGGCAGAAAGCCAATAAAGCTATGTTTGCTGGGGAAAGGGGGATAACTCAATGTTTTAGAATTCTGGCCCCTAAGCTTGAGGCCTGGAGTCTGAGCCCACCAAGCTCTAGTGTAGAACACAGAGCTGGAAGTCCTGATATTTGAGCCTCTGCCCACAGTGGATCAGGCCTCTGTCAGAAGACACCCAAAGACAGTGGCCAAGACAGTGGTCAATTCCGGAGCAAGAAGTGCCCCTCAGGGGCTGCGCCCGTGCGCCTGGGAGTGGGAGATCCTGCAGACTGCTGAAGCTTACCCGTGTGGGAACGCAGGAGCGAGCAAAAGACAGCAGCTGAGAGAATTAACAGCGGCTTGATGTTCTGGTGAGGACAGACAGAGGAGGCACATTTGGGGAAGTCCTGACCCAGGGGGTGCTGTCCAGGGTGCGTGGGACATCTGCTTGCATTTTCAAAGACACTAGCTGCAGCTCCACTGCTGGATAAACCAGGGATGTAGACAAGCAGGGAAGGTGAGGCTCCCTGAGGGAGTAGGGTGGAAGGATGTTTTGGAGAAAAGTGGGTGTCCAGAGCGGCAGGATCTCCTTCTGTCTCTGCCCTCCCTGCCTAGACAGCAGCAACTGGCTGCCCAGGCAGGGGGCACACAGCGTGGGTGGGAAACTGACGGCTGAAGTTGCTTTGCCTGTGTTCCTGAAGTTCTTTGGCCACATTTTCCTGTTATATACTGAATTGTGTCCCCCACGATTCATGTGTTGAAGTCCTAACCCCAGTACCTTAGAATGTGACTGTATTTGGAGATAAGGCCTTTATTTGTTGTTGCTGTTGTTGGGGTTTTTTTGTTTTGTTTTTTAAATTATATTTGCAACCCAGGAGCATAGATTCAAGTTGCCCTGAATATACACTCCTGAGATAAAGCCTTTAGAGAGATGATCAAGCTAAAACGAGGCTGCATAGGTGGGCCCTAGTCCAGTTTGACTGGTGTCCTTGTGAGACGAATGTGCACACACCAGACAGACACAAAGCCGCACATGCACAGAGAACAGACCAGGGGAAGAGGCAGCACGAAGGCTGCCATCCGCAAGCCAAGGAGGGAGGCCTCCAAAGGAACCAACCCTGCTGGCACCTTGACCTTGGACTTTTAGCTTCCAGAACTGTGAGAAAACAAATTTTTGTTGTAAACCATAGACTGGTCGTATTTTGTTATGTCAGCCCTGGCAAACTAATACAATTGTTTCCCTCCCTCTTGGGAAAAGGATGGAAATAATCTATTGTGACTGTTAACTCTGGTTCTCAGGTAAGTCACACCCTGTCTGTGTGTCCCTTTCTCAGAAAGCTACATTTACCAGTAGGGCCAGAGTTTCATCCTGCAAGGTTCCTACTAGAAAAACCTCTGCCCCCAAGTGCAGCTTGCTCCTTCAAGTTTTTAAAGTACGGAGAGTGTCCTGCCCAATAAATGTATAAATTCACCAATTCACAAGCTTGGGATGCTGGCATTACTAAGTTGCCACCAGGGGCAGGCCTCCCTCATCTCCACCTATCAGAAGCACTCACTACCCAGGGATGCAGAGAGCTCAGATCAGCCTGATAAATATTACGAACACATTAGTCTTCCCCCAAGAGAAGGCAGAAGCAGCATGGACACCTCAGCGCCGAGTCCCGTTGTTCGAGCAGAGAGCGCAGGGCCTCGGCAGATGCTGTCTCGGGGAGCACTCCTACCTCACTGCTTGTTGCACAAGAACCAAGAAACAGGCCTGGCCCAGAGAAGTGATGGCAGTCTTGATAGCAGTTACCATTTCTGTCAGACATCCCTCTTCAGTACTGGGACTGTTCCTTTATGCTCAGCTGCAGGCACCACTCACCCAGAACTCCCGCCCTTAGAGCTTCCTGCTAGACGAGCTTCCAACTCACCAAGCTCAGGGCTCCGGAACCCAGACCCCCAGATCTCAGCTGGGGAACCCAGACCTTCAGGCCTGTGTTCTAGAAATCCCATCCAGAAACAGGCTGGGCTCTTCCTCCTCTCCTCCCCGTCCTTATTCCCAGTGTTCCCACCACAGGCCACAGCAGCTTGACTGGGTGCCTCAGGGGGACATCATTCTCTCCCTAGCCTGGGGCCTCTTGGCATCTTCCCGAGGGCCGACCACCAGGGCCCTTACCTTTCATGAGGATGTCCTCCGTCAGTGGGAGGCCATAGAACTCACAGAGCTTCCAGCATTGCAGGTAGACCAGAAAGTTGTCCCTGCGGGACATGCCAATGAGCTCGTTCATCTCCCCGTGGATGGTGGACGGCAGGCAGTGCTCGTCAAAGTGCTTGGTCCCGCAGCGCACCAGGCGGCACTGCTCCATGTACTGGATGGAGGGGATGGAGCTCTGCAAGAGAACGGGGGAGGCTCGCCTGCCCTTGCCCTGAGTCTCATCGACCTCTCCCGGAGACGCTCTGGGGAATGGCAACGACAAACTATGCACAGTGGGGCTGCAGTTCAGGTCAATGACTCAGGAGGAAGATCACACATGGTCAAGGTCAAGCCCTATGAGAACTTGAATGGTCAGTGCATGTGGTTCTATGTGCACAGCCCTGTACACAGATGTGCATACACAATTGTCTAATATATGCAGCAAGACACAGTACACATGCCCTAGAGGCATCCTATTGGAAAATGACACCCAAGCGTTTGGCTGCATGGGGATTTAATTTAGGAGCAGCCGTCTGTGACCTTGAAGTGGGAGGCCATGTGCTAAGGTAGAAGGGCCTGGGGAACATGTAACCACTTTCATTAGCTGCCACCTTCTGCTGTTGCTGCTTTTTTCTTTTTTAACCAAGAGAAAGAAAACTGCTTTTTAAAGCTTCTAACAACAGAATCAACAAAGTACAATCCATAGGCCAAATCTGGCCCACCACCTGTTTTTATAAATAAATTTTTGTTGGCACACAGCCACACTCATTTGTTTAGGTGCTGTCTGTGGCTGCTTTCGTGCGGCAACAGCAGGGCTGAGTAGTTGCGACCCAGACCATATGGCCCACAAAGCCCAAATGTTTACTATCCAGTCCTTCACAGAGGAACTTTGCCGGTCCCTACTCTATCATTTGGGTTTTCTTGTTATGCAATTGAATCACATCTTAGTTGATATAGCACTTACCAATTCCTGCCATTTTATTATACATATATTATATTTGCAAACGTGTACTTAATTATTATATATTATATATAGTATTATATTAATGCTGTCTGCCTCCCTGACTAGGCTGTCAGCTTCCTGGGGCAGGGGCTGTATTGTTCACTCCAGCATCCAGAAGAGGGCCTGGCACCTCGTAGGCTCTCCATAGATATTCACTGGACAAACTAAGTCACTCAATCAGTCCTTCCTTCCTTTGCTTGCCATGGATTCCTGGAGGGTCCATGCAGGCCAGGCCCTGTGCCAGGCACTTGGAGTCTAGCTGTGAGGAAGATGTAGCCCTGGTCTCAGGAAGAAAAGTAATTAAAGAATGAGAAGAGGGAACTCGATACTTTCAGCAACAGGATCTCTCTCTCTCTCTCTCTCTCTTTCTCTTTTTAAGAGACTGGGTCTCACACTATCAGACTGGAGAGCAGTGGTGTCATCATAGCTCATGGCAGCCTTGAACTCCTGGCCTCAAGAGATCCTCCTGCCTCGGCCTGTGAAGCCACTGGGATTATAGGCTCCAGACACTGTGCCCAGCAGAAATGTGATCTTATTTCACCTTTACGAAAACCTCATGGGCAGTTATTATTCTTGCACAGATGAGGGAAGGCGGGTGCTCAGAGTGAGGACCCCTCACAATAGGTTCCCTCAGCCAGCAGGTGGTGCCGCTGCACTGGATTTGAACCCCAGCTGGTCTGGTCCCCAAGCCCTGTGCCCACCCTGGGCCGGCGGGGTACCTTTTGCTGCCGCTTCCGCTCGCGGTACCGTTTGCCCACGTCCTCCATCTCCTCCAGGGTCATGGGCCGCGCCTCCATCCGCAAGTCGACCACGGGCACTCTCAGCAGGTCCATCTCGGGGGGCTGTGGGGCTGGGTCCACAGCCTGGTTCTTGGGCAGGCTCTTTGGGGAAGCTCTGTGCCTGGCCAAGTCTGGAGTCAGAGGGAAGAGACAGAGGAAGGAGGGACTGTGACGGTAACCAGCCATGGCATCCGCCAAGCAGTCATCCACATCGCCGCAGGCGCCAGGACATCCCTCTGCTCCCTCCCCACACGGCCGGGCGTGCCCACCTGAGGCCACCCCGACTGTGTCCCTGCTCTCCGTGTCCACGATGGCCCCCCTCACCTGCACACCACCCCAGCTGCTGCCCCATGCTCATCCTCTATCACCCTGTTTCCACCAAGTGGCAAAATAGGCCCTTAAAAACCATAGAGCCGGGCATGCTTGTGAGTTCCTGTAGTCCCAGACACTTGGAGGGCAGAGGCAGGAGGATCGCTTGAGCCCAGGGGGCTGAGGCTACCATGGGCTGTGACCGTGCCTGTGAGCAGGTACTGCACTCCAGCCTGGAGTACTCACGGTACCACAGCGAGACCTGGTCTCTACACATGTTCAATATATATGTGTACATATAAAGTATATAAACCAGATCACCTCATTCCTCTGGGTTCCCATAGCACTTAGACTAAAATCCAGAGTCCTATCCCCAGGTTACAAGGCTGCCTTCCCACCTGGCGCATCTACTGTTCACCCTCACCCACTCCACCCAGCCACCCTGACTTCTTTCTGTCCTTTGCAAGCTTTCCTGCCTCAGGAACTTTGCCCTGGTGGTCCCCCTGTCTAGAATGCCCTGCAACTGTCCCTGTCAATCACAGGTGTCAGCTCTAGTGTCGGCTGCTCAGGGAGGCCTTCCCTGCCGCCACCCATTGCTCTGTCCTGTTGTCTTCAATGCATGAGTCACTATTGGACATCATCTCGTTTAACCCTTTATGTGTAAGTTCATTGAAGGCAGGTGCTTTGGCTTGCTCACCGCCGTGTTCCCAGTGCCTAGAAGTGTGCGCGGCACATAGCAGGCGCTCAACAAATATCTGAATGACTGCAAGATTCCCATTGCCCCTGCCCTGGTTCAGGCCTTCGTTGCCTGGAGCTGAAATAATCCTGGCCTCACCACCTTCTATTTAGACTGTGGATAAGTGGCTCAGCCTCTCTGACCTTCAGCTGCTTCCTTGTAAAGCACGAATAGTAACCCTGACTTCCAGGGGACATTAAGGATAAACTGAGATAATTCTGCAAGAAGACCTGCTGACCCACAGAGGACTTCCCTGCCAAGGTGCACAAACTCTTGCCCCTTTAGACAAGGTGAGAGACACCCAAGTCCACCTGTCTCAGCCACTGCCACTCTCCAGGGAAAAAGGACTCAATGAAGAGCCTGAAATAGCACTGTTAAAGCAAACACTTTCTGCCCGGCTTCGAGTTTATTTCCTGGGAACTAACAGGCCCCAAATACCTTTGCCGCAAATATGCATCACAGCACATTTTGGTCACTCAAATGACATGCAGCCAGCTACACTGATAAGGGTGAGCTTTGGTAATTTATAAAGAAAAGGCACAAAGAGCGTCGGAGGGAAAGAGCACCCACTTGAGGCAACCCTGAGGATGCTCCGGACACACAGCACCCTGCGCAGATGCCAGGTGATGACCGCGGGGGTGGCGATACCGGCAGGGGAGACTGGGCGCGCTCAGGTTCCCTGGGCTCCTTGCCTGGGAGGGGATGGTGCCTCTGCAGGGCAGCTGGTTGAGACTGGGTGTTAGAAATCTCCCAGGGGACTGAGGAATGGATGCTCTGAGCTGCCTGCTGCCTCCAGATGAACCATGCCAGTGAGGATGCTGAGCACCGTGTTCAGCGTGACCCTGAACTCCAGAGAGCTTGCCCCAGGTCTTCAACCATGTAAGGAAACCCCTCACTACCTCCTCTAGGGCTCTTACGTGACATCAGGGAGGGCAAGGAGCACTCTCTGCCAAACCTGTCTGACATTAAATTCCTGCCAATCTGGTGGATATGAGCAGAGCAAGATTTGTTTCATTTAGAAAAACAAAGCTGTGGTTATATTTGGGGAGGGTGCTGGAATGGGCGAGTAGTTGTAATTGTTCTTTTGGTTTTTTTTTTTTTACAACAATGGCACTAAAATATAAAGAAACACGTATGCGTCCTTGTGTTACAGAGTAAATTCAGAGCTATAGCGAGTCCATTTCTAATTTGCCTCTATGCCTTGTTTGGACAGATGTGGCCCCACAAGCACAGGTGTGGCAAATGGAATCTGAGCTGTGCACAACCTATACAATGTTCATAGCAGCTGTGCTATAATACCCCTGACAGTAGAATATCAGAGTAGACTTTCCAGTAAACTCTAAACATTTGCTAATTCTGATTTCTGAACAAGAAATTTTAGTTAACATTTTATCAATAAGGCGTGGATTAATAGGAAGGAGGCCTTGGACCCATACACAAATAAATGTCTCTGGAAAGGCTTGCTGTTTGGGTCAGTTCTCAGCTTATTAGGTGGGCTCTGGTAGGCTAAGCCTACCCCTTGCGTATCCTCCTCTAAGGGTACGGCTGGAGCTCATTCATCATCAAATGGACACAGTGGTAGCCAGGCACTCAAGAGAATATCTGCTCCTTAGTGGACCTCCGGGCCTAGACATTCCAGAGGCTTGGCCACACCACCGTGGGCCACAGTTAGACAACACACTCAGGAAGTGAGCGTGGCAAGAGGGGCCACAGCTGCCCACACCATGGTCGCTCCCAGGATGGGGATGGGGAGGGGTACGCACACTCCCGTGCAGTGGGCAGGGTGCTCCTCTGCTGGGCCACAGACCACTGCTTGTAGGTGTTGGCCAACGTATCCATGGTGATGGTGTTGTGCTTCCCAAGAGAGCTGAGATAGATCACTATATCCTCCACCTCTTGGTTCTTCAGAGGGACTCCGACCTGAGGAGAGAAGAGAAGCCCCCAAGACGGCAGGCTCCCATCAAAATGTCCTGCCTTGACGGCCAAACCTTACCTGCCTGGCCCACCCCACAGCCTGGCTTCTAGTTTCATCTGCAACCACTTCCCACTCACATCCAACATCCCTCTGCAGGACGAAGAGCCCTTTCCCATCCCTGAACACACTCTGCACTTTCTCACCCTCTGCCTTTGCTCAGTCCTCCCTCTCTGCCTGAAAAACTCCTATCCCTCCTTCAAAACCCAGTCCAGGCCGGGCACGGTGGCTCACGCCTGTAATCCTAGCACTCTGGGAGGCCAAGGAGGGAGGATTGCTCAAGGTCAGGAGTTCAAAACCAGACTGAGCAAGAGCGAGACCCCGTCTCTACTAAAAAAATAGAAAGAAATTAATTACCCAAGTAAAAATATATAGAAAAAGTTAACCGGGCATGGTGGCGCATGCCTGTAGTCCCAGCTACTCGGGAGGCTGAGGCAAGAGGATTGCTTAAGCCCAGGAGTTGGAGGTTGCTGTGAGCTAGGCTGACGCCACGGCACTCACTCCAACCTGGGCAACAAAGCGAGACTTGGTCTCAAAAATAAATAAATAAATAAATAAAATAAAACCTATGTGTGAAAACGGATAATTTAAAACCACAAAAGACGTAGCAGTCAACTTCCTAAATTTTTTTTAAGGAATCTTGTATTCAAAAAATATATATAGGGAGGGGGGCGGGTATATACATACATAATGAGTGAGATGTGCACCATCTGGGGGATGGTCATGCTGGAAACTCAGACTTGTGGGGGGAGGGGGGAAAAGGGCATTTATTGAAACCTTAAAATCTGTACCCCCATAATATGCTGAAATAAAAAATATATATATATATATATAAGCTTAATTCACCTAGACTAGGGGTCAGCCAAATTTTTTTTTTTTTTTTTAGAGATGGGGGATCTTGATCTGTTGCCCTAGTAGAGTGCAGTGGTGTGATCATGGCTCACTGTAGCCTCCAGCTTCTAGGCTGGGTTCAAGCAATCCTCTTGCCTCAGCCTCCCAAGTAGCTGGGACTACAGGTGTGCACTACCATCCTCAGCTAATATTTTTCAGTTTTTTAGAGATGGGGTCTTGCTATGTTCCCCAGGCTGTTCTCAAACTCCTGGCCTAAGCAATCCTCCTGCCTCAGCCTCCTGATTTGCTGAGATTATGTTTGTGAGCCACTGTGCCCGTGCAAACTTTTCTATAAAAGGACAGATAGTAAATATTTTAGATTTTGTGAGCCATATGGTCTCTGTCATAACTACTCAACTCTGCCAGTATAGTATGAAAACAGTCACAGATAATTAATACATAGATGAACTGTGGCTGTGCTCCAGCAAAACTATTTTAAAAAACAGGAGACAGGGTGGATTTGACTTGTCGGCCATATGTTGCAGACCCTGCCAGACCAGTAGAACTTTCCATGTTGATGCAAATATTCTACATCTGTGTAATCCAATAGAGGAACCACTTGCCTCATGTAACTACTGAGCACTCAGAATATAGCTGGTGTGATTGAGGAACCGGATTTTTTATTTTTTTTATTTAAAATTACTTTATATTATTAAATAGCCAGTGCAAGTAAAAGTGTGGCCTATAAACTAGGACCGTAGGCATTAGCAGGAGCTTGGTAGAAGTGCAGGGTCTTGGGCCTGCACAGATGTACTGGGCCAGAAGCTGTGTTTCAACAAGACCTCTATGTGATGTCTAAAAAAGCTGTAAGGCTCCCCCAGGTGATTTATATGCTAGTGACAGTTGGAGAAGCTCTAGAAGGTTCTAGAGGCAGGACTGAAGGCCCAGTCTCTCTGGGCTCAGTGGGTAAGACAGGGGTCTGGCGAGTAAGACAGGGACTTGCCAGGCAGCTGGCTGGTTGTGGGCTGGCTCTGCAAACCTCCCACTCCCGTGTGTGGGGTCTTTCAAGGTCAGACTGGTACAAGTGCTTTTAAGGGTCTGGTTTGGCTCCAGTTAATCCACATTGTCCAACCTGGCTCTACTTGTAACAATACTGGCACTTGTGCTCCCTGTGTCTACTTTTCCATGGATCCAGAGCCCAGGAAGGGGGCCCAGCAGGAGGAAGCAGGGGCACTTACTGCCTTTACGGCCGCAATGAACTCCTCTCTGGTGATTCTCTGGTTCTCGCCGCGGTCCACCTTGTTGAAGATCTCCAGGACCTTGATCTTGCGGCCATGCAGGTAGGAGAACAGGGCCAACAGGGCGGAGGGCTTGGGCAGCTGGAGCTGGGGCATCTTTCGGCGGAAGAGTTGGGGGGCTTTCTTCTGGAAGAGGTGAGAGAGTGAGGCAGAGGAGGTGTTCAAGGGACACAGGCCAATGGCACGCAGTCCCCAAAGTTAGAGAATGACGGGAGAGAGGCTGAACAGCTCCCCACAGACAGCAAGATGTGGGGGCCACGGGCACTGGATTCAGGACAGCTGCGTTTGGCCGCAGACTGCCTGGGAGACTTTGCTTTTCTGGGCCCTGAGGTTTTGTCATCTGAAATGGAAGACTTGGACAACAGGAAAACTAAAATCTCCTTATCTCCATGGCCCCTGTCAGAAAAGCCAGTATGTGTGCCCCTCTGGTTCCCCAGTGCACTGAAATACATACCCCTCCAGCCTTTGTTCTGCCGGGCCTCCTGCATGGAATGCCTTTCTCTCTGTCCCTACCTACCCTAGGCCCCTCCTCCAATTCCAGACTAAAAGGAGTATTTCCTGATGCTAATGCTCCCTTACCTTGGTGCAGCACTCGACAGTTTCCAAAGGGCCTTCCCATTCCCTGGCTTACTGTTCCCCTGCCCTCCTGGGGCGGTTTGGACCAGCTGCCATTAATGGCCTGTGGCAAAAGGTAGAGCCGTTAATCTGATGTGTCTGCCTCCCGCACTAATACGGGAACACCTTGTGCCACGGCTTGAATGTCTGTCCCCTCTGAAACTCCAGGTGAAATTGAATCCCCAGTGTAACAGTATTAACATGTGGGGGTCGAGCGCGGTGGCTCACGCCTGTATTCCTAGCACTCTGGGAGGCCGAGGCAGGCGGATTGCTCAAGGTCAGGAGTTCGAAACCAGCCTGAGCAAGAGCGAGACCCCGTCTCTACTATAAATAGAAAGAAATTAATTGGCCAACTAATATATATAGAAAAAATTAGCCGGGCATGGTGGCGCATGCCTGTAGTCCCAGCTACTCGGGAGGCTGAGGCAGAAGGATTGCTTGAGCCCAGGAGTTTGAGGTTGCTGTGAGCTAGGCTGACGCCACAGCACTCAGTCTAGCCTGGGCAACAAAGCAAGACTCTGTCTCAAAAAAAAAAAAAAAAAAAAAAGTGGGGTCTTTAAGAGGTCATTGATCCATTCATGGATTAATGTGTTACTGGGTTAATGGATTAACCAGTTACCATGACAGCCAAAACAAGTCTGTTATAAAAGCCTGTTTGGGGGGCTCTCTCTCGCTCTCGTGGCCCTCCCACCCTGCAATGCCTCCCACCATGTTACGATGTAGCACAAGCCCCTCACCAGAAGCCAAGTTGATGCAGCCGCTCAATCTTGGCCTTTCCAGACTCCAGAACTGTGAGGCTGGAAATAAACCTCTGTCCTTTATAAATCACCCAGTCACAGGTATTCTGTTGTAGCAAGAGGAAACAGACTGGGACACCTTGAGAGCAAGGCCGTGTCTTACTTAGCGATGTACCTCCAGCTCCCAGCCTTGTACTGAACAAAGCCCTACCTAGACAGGTAGGTAGTGATTGTTTGCTGTGAATAGGTATAGGTGTCACTTTCTCCACTTACAGGAAAGGAATGAGGCAGAAGTAAAGTGACTTTGCCTAAGGCCACATAGCAGGGACAGCAGTAGAGCTGGGTTTCTAACCCAAGTCCAGTGCTTGTTCCTATACACTGTGCTGCCGGTGGAAAAGAATGTGTTGTCAGACCCATGAAATTTGGGTTTTGGGTATGATGACAGCAAGGATCCATCCTGAAGTTTCCGGGCCAACAAACCCAAATGACACCTGAGAGACTACAGTAGCAATAAAAATGGCACACATTTATTGAGTGCTCACTATGTACCTGGCACAGTCTTAGGCACCTTATGTAAATCAATCCATTTATAGACATCACAGCAACTCCAAGAGGTAGGCACAATGCTTATCCCCATTTTATAGATGAGGAAACTGAGGCCCAGATTGTACTGCTAGGAAGTAGCAGAGCTGTGTTTAAACCCAAGTTATCTGACATCTTATCCCAACTTTACCTGAATTGGGAAAAGTTTCAAGTGTTTGTATTGCAAGGAAACATCACAGAGAGACGCGTTGGTAATGATGCTATCATTTGCGCTTGGTCTAGGTTTGGACAAATTTTTGGCCTCACTGAGCTTCCATTTCCACCTTTGTAAAAGGAAGATCCCCCTTTTTTCCCCACTCTCTCAATGGTGATCCTCACAGTAACCCTGAGAGCACCTGCTTGGCACAAATAGCCCTCAGCAAACAAGTGTCAATGCTGAATGAATGAACAATGAGTATTTTTAAAACACCCTATAAGATGGAATGCCAGGACTTATGGCTTTTGGGGTGGTTGTAAGGTATGTCACAAGTCCTTCAACTCTCCTTTCTAAGCTGGAGCCTTCCATCCTTCCCCTTGAGTGTGGGCAGTGCTCAGTGACTCACGTCTGACAAAGAATATGGTGCGAGTGATAGTGTGAAACTCCCGAAACCAGGCTTCACCTTCGGAGACCGGGCCATGGGAACACTGCAGCCTCCTTGCTCTCTTTCTGGACCATTCACTCTGGAGGGTGCCAGGGCTCTGCTTGAGGACACTCGGGCAGCGCTGGGAGAGGCCCACGTGGGAGGAAGGGAGGCCTCCTGCCAGCAGTCTTGGGGGAGCCAGCTTGGACGCGAACCCTTTGGCCCCCGTCAAGCCTTCAGATGGCTGCGCCCGGGCCAACATCTCGTCTGCAGCCTCATGGAAGACTGAGCCAGAGCCACCCGGCTAAGCTACCCCCAGAAACTGTGTGCGATAATAGATATTTGTCACTTTAAGTCATTGGTGGGTATTTGTTACACAGCTGTAGATATTACGCCCCCTTTTGGGACTTCCATTTCCTCCTCTGTGGAATGGGGCGAGCCATCCCCATCTTGCTTGACCTAAGGGAACCAAATGCTAACATGTCCCGAAAACCCTTAGTGTCTTCACCTGGCAAATGGGGCTACTCACCTTGGCGGTCCTGGGAGCAGGCATGGGGGCCACCGATTGGACATTCTGCTCCTTCTGGATCATGTCGAAGACCTTGGCCTCTAAAGGCGTGAAGCTGGGCTTGTTCTCTAGCCACCTCTTTACGTCGCCAAAGGAGTCCAGGTCCTTCCGTAGCTTTGCCCTCTTCCTCAGCCAGGTCTTACTGTCCTCCGGCTGTTCTTGGATATCCCCAGCTTCCAGGGCTTTGAAGCTGGGGACAGGCTGTGGGGAAGGCTGGGGGTGGGGTGTGGGACTGCTGGGCGTCTCACCCTCCATGGGAGGCGCGATGATGATCCGCCGGCGGCTCTTAGGCAGGTGGAAGCCCTGCTTGAACTGCTTGAAGCAGTGGGCGATGACCGCTTCAGGATTGAAGACAGGGACAGGGACCGGGACATTGCTGGCGTTTTTGTCATTGACTGAAGTCTCAGACTGGCAGAGCCCTTTGGGGAGGAGGGTTAAAAGTGAGTTTCTTTCCAGAAGAGGATGAAAAGGAGACAGGAAGGAAAAATGTTTCAGCACCAGGCCGGGCATCAGGGCCGTGGGTCCCAGGCCTGGCTCTCTCATCAACTTGCTGGAATGATGAGGATGATTTCATCTAACGCCGCTGGGCACTCCCGATGGCAGGCACTAAGCTAATGGCTTCACATGCTTTCTCTTACTTAACCTTCCCCACCCCCAGTCCCCAACACTCCTACTGGCAATCAGAATGAAATTTTTAAAACGTCAATCTGGGCTGGGCACGGTGGCTCACGCCTGTAATCCTAGCACTCTGGGAGGCTGAGGTGGGCGGATCATTTGAGCTCAGGAGTTCAAGACCAGACTGAGCAAGAGCGAGACCCCGTCTCTACTAAAAATAGAAAGAAATTAATTGGCCAACTAAAAATATATAAAAAGTTAGCCGAACATGGTGGCGCATGCCTGTAGTCCCAGCTACTCGGGAGGCTGAGGCAGGAGGATCGCCTGAGCCCAGGAGTTGAGGTTGCTGTGAGCTAGGCTGACGCCACGGCACTCTAGCCCAGGCAACAGAGTGACACTCTGTCTCGTAAAAAAAAGAAATAAAAATAATAAAACACCAATCTGATCTTGTCTGATCTTCTGAGGTAGCACAGCATGTCAAGAGCAGAGGCCCTGGCGCCAGAATGCTCGGGTTTGAGCCCTGGTTCTGCCATCCGCTGGCTGTGTGATCTTGGGCCAGCCACTTGACTTCTCTGTGTCTCAAGTTCTTCATCTGTAAAATGGGGATAGATAATGATGGTGCCTACTTTAGAGAGTGGTGGAGATGTTTGGAATCAGCCAATTCATTAGAGTAACTCTCTACCTAATAAATGCGCCATAATTTTCATATACTCACCCTTTGGCCATTTTGAAGTCCTTCCATGTCTTTCCATAGTCCTCAAAATAGAGTCCCGTGCCCCTCCTCTGCCCATCTGTCCAGCCTTAACACTTGCCTCTCTTTCTCTACTGTGTCCCAGATGCCTTGAGCTTCTGTCTGTTTCCTGTGTGATCCAAGCCCTAACCTGCGTAAGGGTCTGGCACATGCTGCTCCCTCCTCTAGGAAGCTTCCCTCCCCCACCCAAACTCTCCTCACTCCTCCTCATCCCCCAGGCCCCAGTCTCGAGTATACCCTCATCTTACCTCTCCACGCACAGCCTGTTTCCCTCGTCCCCCTTATCACAGCTAGGCAAATCAAGGGCTGACAACTGGTGCTCCTCATACTGAATGAGGCTTGAGGTCCTGTTTTGTTTGATATACTACTTAAACTGTTTCAACTTGAGTGACAGGAGGGGCATGGTCTCTCCAGCTTTCCACAGGCTCCACCATTCTCTATTGTCTCCCATGCAGCTCAGTTCATTTATGAAGCTCCTGGGTCAGGCAGATGTTTGTGTTTGAGATCCCCTTGTGCAAGTACTTGGTTGATGTTTACCTGTTCTGATAGACTGTGAGCTCCATGAGACCTTGTCTCTCTTGGTCCCTGCTGGAGCTCTGACATCTCCCTAGTGCCTGCACGTCATGGGAACTCAGTAAATATTTCATGACTGAACGAATGACAAATGGACAGGCCTCTGAGGTTGGTGCTATGATTATGCCGATTTTACAGATAAGGACACTGAGGTCCAAAGAGGCCCACGGTCACACAGTTGATTAGTAGCAGAGTTGCCTGGCCCCAGAGCTCAGCTCTTAGCTGTTAACTTGATATTACTATAGGCTGTCACCCAATCCTGCTGAGTCTCAAGTCTTTTATTTCTAAAATGGTATAAACTCTTCCATCTATCTACCTCCCAAGTTGCTATGAAGATCAAATGAGACAACAGATATGAAAGTGTTCTAAAAATCAGAAGAGCTATAACATCATTATTGGAAATATTGTCATTATCATTTTCCTTCTAAAACCTAAACTCCTCCGCTTAAATCCCATCCATGGCTCCCAGCAGCCTTGACCTGCCCCCCATCCTCCTGCTCCAGCCAGCTTCTCTAAATTCTCTGACTCCTTCTCTTGCTCCTTCTGCCTCACTCTGTATATGTGCCAGACTGAGCTGCCCGCAGTTCCGGCCTGCCCCACCTCCCTCAACGGCCGCTTTCTCCCTCTGACACGCCCTTCTCTCTCCTGCTGCGCCTGATTATCCCCAGCTGTCCTTGGAGACTCAGCTCAGGCCTCACTGGAGCCCTCCCAACCCCCGTCTCATGCCCCCTTCTGGGGCTCCAGAGCCCCCTACTTAGCCCCATAGCAGCATTTGCCATATTTTTCTGAAATGAAGACGCTTTCTGCGTCTTTCTTTCCCAACAGGCCGTGAGTTTCCTGGTAGCAGGGACTGTGTCTTAGTTCCCGTGTCCCTGGTGCCCAGCCTGGCATAGAGTGAACATTCAGTACATTTGTGAAGTCTCTTTACAATGCCCATGTGTTCCTTTCATAGTCAGCAAATAACAAAAATGTACATCAGTAGGGACAGAAGTGAGCACGTCTAAACTTATGTGTCATTTCCTGGGCCACAAGAAACTCCATACCCATCAGGGGATGCCTGAGAATTTAGTCGTTCATCAAACCAGCATTCACTGAGAATCCCCCAGGGCCTGGTGCTGTGCTGGTGCAGATGTAAACGGCGCTGGGCGCCCGACCATGGTGCACCAGGATCAAGGCAGGGCAGCCAGAGGGTAGCGAGGTGCTCTCAGTGGGGGGAGAAACTTGCTGGGCTTTGGGGATCAACAGGGAAGAGGTGTCACCAAGGTAGACCTTCAAGAATGGTTGGCTACTCAAGGGGGATAGTTGGGGAGGGATTTGGGGTGGGCATTGGAAGCGTATTGTATGTCAACAAGGTTGTTAGTGGGAGATGAGGTTGGAGTCATCTTAAATGCCAAGCTAAGGGATTTCAACTTTATCCTGCAGACCCCAGGAACACATTCAAAATCTGCCCGTCACTGGTCTTGCCACTGTGTCCTGGCTAAACCCCCAATCCCCCTTCTGCCCCAGCCAGAAGAGGCTTTTAAAAATGTAAAATCAGATCCCGTCACTCCCCCATTTGAAGTCCTTCCATGGCTTCTTGGCACTCTTAGAATAACTACCCCTCCTAGACCCGGAGGCCTGCTCCCTTCTCACCCCTCATTTCCACCCATCCCGCCCTCGCCCACTTGGCCAGGCTGCGCTGGCCTCCCTTCTGCGTGTCAGGCGCTCCGGCTCCGCCCTGGCTCTCAGGTTTTCACATCTGCTGTGCCCTCCGACGAGCATGGTGTCCCCCGGGCTTCCCCCAGCGAGTCCTTCTTAACACATAGTCCCCAACCTACAGCCCCAACCACCCATCTCCAGGGGCGCCCACCGTGCCCCCTCGTGGAGTGCCAGTCTAGTGCTCTTGGGGGTCCTGTGCCCACTGACAGAAAGTGCCATGGCTCTTAGAATAAAAGAGGCTGTCTGTCCCTGTGTAGTTGAGGGTAGAGATTGTGTGAACATGTTCCTGTGGAGTTGGTGAGGGAAGCTCTCAAGAGGGACATCCTTTGTAACCCATTGGCAGGCCTAAGGCTATGCAAGACAAGCCTGCAGGTCCTCAATTTACACAACAAATCTATGTGCAATGGCTTGTCTGGAATAAACAGCTCCTTATGTCCCAAGCCTTTAGACAAAGCTTCATATCTTTAACCAATTACAAGTCAAAGAATCTTTAAACCCACCCATAACCTGTAAGGCCCCCACACTCCCACCCCTGCTCCCCTCTCCAAGATGGCCTACTTTTTCAGGCCAAACCAATGTACACCTTCCATGTATTGATTTATGACTTTACCTGTAACCCTTGTCTCCCTGAAATATATAAAACCAAACTGTAACTCAACCATGGCGAGTCCACTTGCTCAAGGCTTCTTGGGTGTGGATCCTCAAATGTGGCTCAGAATAAGTCTCTCTAAAATGGTTTTATGGAGTTTGGCTTTTTTCCCGTTGACATTATAAACCAAGGGTAAAATTGGAGCCCTCTATTTAACATTGTGGACACCTAACTCCGACTGCTAGAAAATACTTCCTGGCCGGGTGCAGTGGCTCGCGCCTGTAATCCTAGCTCTCTGGGAGGCGGGCGGATCGTTTGAGCTCAGGAGTTCAAGACCAGCCTGAGCAAGAGCGAGACCCCCATCTCTACTATAAATAGAAAGAAATTAATTGGCTAACTAATATATATAGAAAAAATTAGTTGGGCATGCTGGCGCATGCCTGCAGTCCCAGCTACTTGGGAGGCTGAGGCAGTAGGATTGCTTGAGCCCAGGAGTTTGAGGTTGCTGTGAGCTAGGCTGACGCCACGGCACTCACGCCCAGGTGACAGAGCGAGACTCTGTCTCAAAAAAAAAAAAAAAAAGAAAGAAAGAAAATACTTTCTTATATTGACCCAGAATTTGCTTCCCTGGAATTTCTACCTTTTGGCCCCAGTCCTCTCCACTGATGCCCAAAAAACACACTTGTTCCCTTTTTTCTGGGATAGCCTGCCAGTGTCTGGAGATAATTCCATTCTTTCTTGATATTCTCTCCTCTCTTGGCTCCTGATTCAAGTCTCTCCCTAAGTCCCACCTCTCTGGCTGCTGTTCTTGGGCCTTTCTTTTACTGCCCACCCCTTAAATGTTGGTGCTTTCTGGGCTAACACCCAGGCTCTCTTCTTTTTTCAAATAATCTGCTCCACTCTCATGTTTCTATGACCCTCTAATCCTGAGGACACTGACACCCGTACTAACACTTATGACTCGGAATCAGCTCCAATTTTATATATCCAGTTGCTCCTAAAACATCTCCACTTGAATGGCTTACAAGGATCTTGAACTCAACCAACTAAGACTGGATTTGTCTTCATGCCCCTGCCACCACCTACTTGGGTCCTTCAGGCATTTCTCTATCTCTGTGAAATTGCTCTCCATCTACCAGGTCCCCTGGCTACCAACCTGAGCATCATCTTTGATTGCTCTTTCCACGTTCGTTGACTAATCAGCCCTCAAGTCCTTGTCGTGCCCACTAGCCTGGCCCCTCTCCCTCACCTCCCAGCATCTTTGGCCTGGGCATTTGACCACAGGCTCGACTCGTGTGCCTGGGGAAGGTAGCCAGGTGCTCTGGCTTGCCCTATTTCTCCGCTGGATATTCATGTGTTTGGCACTGGAGCAGAGGCACGGAGAAGACCTTCAGTCTTCCGGCTTGACAGCCCCAGGTCTCTTCTCACACGCAACATTCTGAGTCTGCCACTTCAGTTTCCGTCTTTGCTGACTGCTCCCAATCCTGTCCCTGCCAGTGGTTTCTCCATCTCCTGGCTTACAAGATCTCTCAGCATCCCGTCCCTTCTGACCTCTCTCACCGCACTTCCAGTGACACTTGAACTATCAGCAGTTTCCTGAAGACACCAAGCCTTTGTGCCTCTGTACATGTTGTTTCCTCACCTGAAATGCTTTTCCTTTTCCTTTTGGCTTAGAGAACTCTTTAACCTTTGAGCCCCACCATAAAGATCTTTTCCAGAATTATTTCCAGGAAACACTGTTCCTCTCTGTCCCATACCCTCAAAGCGCCTCTTACTGCTGGGCATCACCCCTGCACCCAGCACTCAGCCCTTCTTATTCTGTAATTATCCATTATCTCTGTCCTTCACCTTTGAAGTTGCAGAGCTTTGCCAAGAACTTGTTCCCCGGCATTTTCTTGGCAAACTTTTGACCACCAAAGACTTCCCCATGCCTCTTCTCCAGTGCTGAAGACATTAATGTCCCTCAGAGAAACAGAGCGGGCTGGAGGGCCCCAGGCATATGGGTCAGGCTTCTGGTTCCAAGCCAAGGCGACTCGGCTCGCTTCCATAACTAGGCCGGGTGGAAATCTCAGAAATGTAATGCCCCGACTCCCTGGCAACCTCTCACCCGGAGCGGGGACGGCACAATGAGCTCTCCCGCCGGGTCCTGCCCTCACCCCACCTTGCGCGTCCGGGCACTGAGGGCTTCCTGCAGACGGATGCTTCCGAGGCTTACCGAGCAGCAGGAACAGCTTCTTGAACGCTTCACAGGAATCGCCCATGGTCGTGCTGCTGGGAGAGGTGCCGCACGCCGCCGCGTGCGAGCGTGTCCGCGTCTGCGTGCGCTTGCTTGCTGCGGGCGCCAGACACCAGAAAAGCAGGAACTCCAAGTCTTGCTGCTCGCGCCAAACTTGCAGAGCGCAGAAGCGTCCTGTTGCCATGACTACAGTCGCCCGCGGCCGGGCGCCTGCTGATCCCACCTTCTTTGGCCCCAAACTGGGAGGGGCCGTGAGCAAATCTAAGCCGTGCCCAGTTCTGGGCTTGGTGAAAGACAGGGTTTCTTCCTTTGGCCCGGTGGCCCAGGAATCTGGTGTAATACATCTTCGGTTTTCCCGTGAACTGTAGGATCTTGTCTCATCTTAAGGCCTCAGTTTTTTCATCCAAAGAATAGACCTTGCCTCATCCACGGGGTTTTAAGAACCCAAGTGAGTCGGAACCAAACAGAGGCAGGGTATTTGATATATTTGTCCCCTTAGACAGGAGCCCACGGGCTTAGACTTACAGAACCTGAGTCCTTGAACTAGGCATCAACTGATAAAATGTGGTATATCCATTTAATGGTCATAGGAATGAAGTACTGACACATGCTACAACATGGATGAACCTTCAAAACAGTATGCTAAATGAAAGAAGCGAGACACAAAAGGCTACATACTATACGATTCCATTCACATGAAATATCCAGAATAGACAAATCTATATAGAAAGTAGATCAGTGGTTGCCAGGGGATGGAGAAAGGGAAGAATTGGAATGACTGCTAACAGGCACAGGGTTTCTTTTTGGGGTGATGGACATGTTCTGGAATTAGATAGTGATGATGGTTGCACAGCACTGTAAAAGTACTAGAAACTACTGAATTGTACACTTTAAAATGGTTAAATGGTGAGTTTTATCTCAATTTAAAAAGTTAAAAAAACCCACTTGAGTGATTACTCTGTGCTAGGCACTGTCTTAACTGAGATGCATTACCTTTGTGACCCTCTCAACATAGGCAGTCATGTAGATGTCACATTAACGTAGCACTCTTACAAGCCAGGCATCATTTAAACACTTGTATGTCTGAACTTCATAATCACAATAAGCATGTGAGAGTAGTACCATGATCCCATTTTAAACAGATGAGGCCAGGTGCAGTGGCTAATGCCTGTAATCCTAGCACTTTGGGAGGCCAAGGGGGGAGGATCGCTTGAGGCCAGGAGTTTGAGATCAGCCTGGGCAACATGGCAAGACCTTGTCTCTACAAACAATAAAAATAAATTAGCTGGGCATCGTGGCATGCACCTGTGGTTTCAGTTACTAGGGAGGCTGAGGCAAGAGGATCAGTTGAGCTTGTGAGTTTGAGGCTGCAGTGAGCTCTGGTCATGCCATTGCACCTTAGCCTGGGCAATAGAGCAAGACTCTGTTTCAACAACAACAAAAAAGGAAACAGGTAGTAGTCAGGCAACCTCGCCTGCAAGAAAGGGGAAGAGCCAGGTCGAGAACTAGGAAGGAGCTGTGGCCTGAGCTCCCCTACCACAGAGCTCACTTCCTGCATCCACAAAGGCCCACACTCTTGATGGATGGAGACGTGAGGGGAGGGGATTTGACAACTGGTGACAACCAGCCCCGTCGTGAAGCCATACCTGATGCCGGGCTTGCCCTACCCTCCAACTCCCGCTGTGGCCCAGGGTTTCACAGGCCTCTCTTCCCTTTCACTGCCATGTTTGAGTGTTTTACCCTACGCTTTTTGTCTGAGTTGGCCTATAGTGTGTGCCTCTCTCTCCCTGTGAGGGTCTCTACCAAGCCTCTCATCTTTGTGTCCCTCCCCAGCTCAGGGCTTTGCACTTTGTGAAGGCCACTTCAATATCTGTTAAATGAAACTGTGATGGGATGCAGCAGATGTTTGCCTTAGGGAGGGGAAGGTGTGGCCAGTATAACTGTTCTCTGGTCAAAATCCAGCCTTTTCTAAAAACGGACACTTGCTGACTAAAGTGGAAACAACCAACTAACCCCGAGTCACACCGTAGCCCGATTCTGGCTACACACCAACCTATAACAAAGGCAGTTGCCCAAACAATCGATTTATTTTCATTTGTTCAATCAATTTAGTTTTCAAGTTATACCTTAAAATGGTGATTCGTAATTAAGACTTAATAATTTAACATTTTTTGTTTGGTAAGTTCTTCTTTTTTTAAGACAGAGTCTCACTCTGTTGTCCAGGCTAGAGTGAGTGCCGTGGCATCAGCCTAGCTCACAGCAACCTCAAACTCCTGGGCTCAAGCAATCCTACTGCCTCAGCCTCCCAAGTAACTGGGACTACAGGCATGCGCCACCATACCCAGCTAGTTTTTTCTATGTATTTTTAGTTGGCTAATTAATTTCTTTCTATTTTTAGTAGAGATGGGGTCTTGCTCTTGCTCAGGCTGGTCTCAAACTCCTGACCTTGAGCGATCCTCCTGCCTCGGCCTCCCACAGTGCTAGGATTACAGGAGGGAGCCATTGCGCCCTGCCGATAAGTTCTTTCTAAGGTAAATGTTTTAGTATTTGAACTATAACATTAAAGTACCCATAATAAAAATAGCATAAAACTTAAAAGGTCCCACCCTCCAACTGGAAGCTGAGATGAGTTTTCACAAAGGAATCAGGGTAAAAGGCATGAGCCAGAAGCCAGTGAGCTGAACCGAGAGGTAAGCAGATACTCACATTAAGTTATCAAACAGATGCTGGGATCAGATCCACAATTCCTAAGAACCGATATGTAGTCATCAACCGCGTACGATGACAAAGTAATCTTATTTGTCTTTGGGGGGGGTTAGCTTTTTTTAAATAAAAATATTTTTGTCATTTAACTGACTAATACACTCAGTAAAACCTTTTATGACATGTTTGGCTGCAAAGTTTTTAATTGCTTCTTCATATAACTATAGTATAATATCATCTTCTATGAACAGAGAACAGAAAGTCTCATCTTTCCTCTAGTGGAGTTGATAGAAATTTGCTTTGTATTACCAATAGTTTAGAAAAGTGTTTTTCACTTTCTCATCATACTTCATTATTGGAAAAGTCATACATTCTTAGGATTGTTGTCAAATAACAATTTATTTTTTTTAAAAAATCTCAAAATATGTTCTAGCACATTCAGTAACAAAGATCCACCAGTGGCACACACATCAACAAGATACACAACTGGGCATCTAGTCAGGCTAATTAAAATCTATATGGCTGGAAAGATGGCTGGTTGTGCTTAATGGGAGCTCTTAAGAACTAAAGTGCAAAGCAATGCATATAAGACAAGTTTGAAAATTTCAAAGAGTTTTAAGACAGACTTAATTTTTCATGATTTTCCCAAAGCCAGTCATGATATTTATTTAACTTGTGGTCTTCAGGGTGCACCTGGAAGAAATACAACACATTAGGATATGGATGCTTTATATAAGTTAGTAAGAAATAACATTTTTCAAAATTGGCTTTTTAAAATGTTTGCTGACAAATAGTACATTATGATAATATATCGAAAAATTATAACCTTTAACCTAAAGGGATTTAAAAATATTTTAAATTATACCTTATATGAAACCAATACTGTTCAAAATATTTTCCAATTTAGTACTGATTTTCACCACAACCTGGAGCATGGTGTGGTGAACAGAGTCAAGTATTAATACCTCATTTTCCAGAAAGAGGTTACAGACTCTGAGAGGTTAAATGGATTGCTCAGGTCACAGTGGATTGCTCTGATGGAGCAGGGACAGCACCGTGTCCTTCATCTCACACTTGGCCAGACCTATTGGCTGAATGCTATAGGGTGAGTCACAAGCTGAGATGGCAGTGTACCAGGCTGGGCACCCACCAGCTGCCAGGATGCCTGTGGGCTGAGCATGTTCAAGAGAATAGGCAGCTCAAGTAGGACCCAGTTAAAGCAGTCTGAGACCACTAGGAGAAACACAACAAACATACACTCCAAGCCCAAACCTGCCTGCTTGCCTTTAGTGGTGGACTTTTGACAGGAGGAAAACCATGTCAGGCTTAGAGACAGTAGATGAATGGAGAATGACAGGAACAGGGTCAGAAGTGATGGATCACTGGAGGTCAGAGGCCATGCCAACAGGTCTTTGTGGACCTGCGAGTGTCTATGGATCCTCTCTCCCTGCTGCCAAAAACCCTATGTCACCGCTGCCCTTCAAGCTGGGAACAAAACTGGTTGGGACTGTGGCAGCACTGGTGTTCAATAAATAGTTTTAGCTGTAATGATGAACCTAGTTTGCCTCAGAGACCAAATGTGCGGAACATGTTATGTGGGGAGAGGGCCTCACCTGCTTCCATTCATTGATGCAAAAAATCCGGTAAGAGTCATTGCCATATTTACCAATCCCGTGAAGCTCAATCGGATACTTCCACTGCTTTGTCAGATACTCATCTGAAGAATACAACATCCCACCTATCAGGTCAGCCTCTAGAAAGACACCTTCCCTACATGTGTGGTGATGGGGCAGGATCGAGAGGACTGCAGAAAGGGACAGGAAAGGCCCTAACAACTCCAGCTGTGACTGCACTTCTTTTTGAATTCCTGTAACATCCTTATCATCTGCCACTTCCTAACCACTGTTTTGTGCTGTGCTATCTAGACAGAGGTAATGTCCTTGAGGTTAAGGACTGGGCTTTCTGCATCACTGACTTCTTCTGCTAGTTATGCTCACATGGCCTGACTCAGTGTGGGGCAAAGATTTATTGCCTGTGTCAGTGGGCAACTGCAGTTTGGGGTAAGAAGACTGTTTTTATATTCAGCTTGAGCTGAATAACCTCCATTAATACAGCACCCGAGGACATTACAGTTTAAGGCGTGGCTCTCTTAAATAAGTGCAATTTATGTTTTTTCCTTTGGGTATATGGGAAAGTACCTGAGAACTTGATAATGGTTTTTGCTCGAAGATCATA